GTATCCATATTAGTATAAATAGATAACTGGAGAGTTCTTCCTTACCATAGAATAACAACCAATAAACATAGAAGGAATGATGTATTTAGAAATTCATCAATGGATGCTAAGCTACAGAGTGATAGTTTAATGAGAAATAGGATATTCACATAGTCTCAAAGTATCTCTTCACCAGATAATGATTCTCTACAGAGGGAATACTCCACCTTATGGTAGAGAAACCTCTTGCATCTCCCCTTAACCAGGTGATTTGAGTTATAGCAACACCCATAATGGAACAAACATCACGTGCTTCCAGATCTGATACCCTGGGCAGGACACACATCATTTGTGTGATAGTCCTGCCAAAAATGCGTCACCTGAATCTAATCCTGAGAAAAATGTCAGAAAAATCCAAGTTGAGAGACATTCTGTGATATAAATGGCCTGTACGCTTGACGGTCATGAAAAAACAAAGATATTACAGATGATTATAAGAGGCTGAAGCAACACAGCAGCAGCACAACATGTGTCAGTCTGGACCTGGCCCAGAACAGCATTTTTTCTTTTTCTTTTTATAAAGGACTTCATTGTGGTAGCTGGTGAGTTTTGAATAGATCTGTAAATTAGATATCAGAACTGATCAAGTGTTAATTTCCTAATTTTGATAATTATACTTTGGTTATATAAGAGAATGTAATTGTTTTCAGATAATATGCTCTGAAGTGTTTAGGAGTTAAAGGATCTTAAGTTTGCAATTTAATGTCAAATGGTTCAGAAAAATAATTTTATACAGTCGTATATTTTACACATATGTGTACTTTGTGTGTGTTGGTATATATCTATACACACAGACAGAAGGAGAATGTTACTATTTAGGGAATCTGAGTGAAGGGGAATTTTGTATTATTTTTGCTACTTCTCTGTAAGTCTGAAATTATTTTTTAAATTTCTAAACTTTTTCATTCAACAAGCACCTTTTGTTTTTCAAACAAACACTTAATGAGCTGCAATAATGTGAAGACACTATGTGTAGAAAGGAAAGGAAAGTGGCAGGAGGGGCCAGCTGTCTGGAGCACAGGCAGAGCTGAGGCAGGTCCCACGCCGTTACACGACAGGCGAGTGTGGGACGAGCGCGGAGAAAGGCTCCGGGAGACCTGAGCCAGGGAAGGACTCACACCAGGTGCTGCGTGATTAGGCCTCTGAGAAAGTGGGTGCAGGGGAGATGGGAAACACGAATGAGGGCCGTGCGCTCCCTCAGGCCTCACTGGTTTGTTCTGAGGCCACTCATCTGAATGAGCCAAGAAGGCAAGGCCTGAGTTACCTGGTTCACAACTATGTCTCCCCTGCTTCTGGAATTGAATTAGAATTACGGATATGACCTAGGGGAACGCACTCAATTTCCTTGGCTTCACTTTCCTCATCTGTCCAGTGAAACTGAAATACAAACCTCGTCTCATAAACTCAGATTGCCCAGATTACACCTTGGAGTACTCACAGTTGCTTCCCAGGATTGAGAGAGCCGAGGTCCAGCTCCCGGTCAAACTCGGTGCGGATGTCCTCCAGGGCCCCGTCATCCCCGAAGGCCCCCCACTCGGTGTTGATGCACATCCTCCCCTCATCGCCTTCCACCAGGTCAATGTTGCTCATGTCCTCCATGTAGCACGCGTTGGTGCCGGTGCCTGGACAAGGGATCAGAGAGAACACACAGAGACGCAAGGGCTCCAAGCTGGGCAAAGACAGAGGGAACTCTCGACCGCCTGAGAGTCCTCTGAATGCACCACAAAGTGCTTTTGATCCACTCCCGGGCCTGGTTCTTGCTGAGGGAAGCAGCTTTGGCAAGCCCGGGAGTTCATGAGGAATAAAGCTGACATGTCAAGTCTACACTTGTCAGGGTGTTAATGGTTTGCTGTTATGAATGGAGTCAATTGTGAAAAAGTCCCCGATGAATATGTATGAAAGCTGACAAAGCACATTTACAAAGAGGAGGATAAGTTAATGTAACCTTGTAAATACATATTTTTTTAAAATCACCAACCCACAGTAATTTTTTAAGCCCTTTCCCTACGTTGCTTAGCCTCTTCTCTATTTGATAATAAAAACATTCTTTATTCACAGCCTGCCACAAATTGTTCCTAACATAAGCTACATCCTTGTCTTTAACAGTGATTAGCTATTACAGAAGAAAGCAACATGCCATTATTCAAACACAAATTTACTCTAAAGAAACACCTCAAACACTTGAGTAGTAGCGAGTGGCTACAAATAGGCACAATCTATTTGGGTCCTATCGAGATGATAGAAATGTTCTAACTAACTGGATTGTGGTGATGGTTACAAAACTTTTAAATTTACTAAAAATCACTGCATTATACACCTAAATGAGAGGATTTTTGTGCCTCAATAAAACTGTTTTTTAAAAAATGTAAGTATCTTCCCCTGGCTGATACTCTGATCTTAGGATTTTAAAGCCAACATGAGAAATAAGAGATATAGAGAAGTAGAATGTAATACAATATTTGGGAAAAGCTTTTCTCCGAAAAGCACACTGTTTAGGCATGGCCCTCAATCTACAGGTCACCAGACATTGTCACTAAGACAGACACAGTGGACAGAACTGATGCCATGACAGGCAAGCACCAGGCCCATTCTGAGGTGTGGGGCTCCAGAAACAGAGAGGCAGATCAAGCCCCTCAGCTGTAAAGATCCTGCCCTTTGGGCAAGTCCAGCTGAGGACAGGGGGTTGGAAATCAAGGAAAACAATTCAGAAAACCCCCCTCAACAGCGGTAAAGGAATGGGGAACTGATGGGGTAGTAAAGAACAGCCTATAAATCTGATCCACTTGGCCTTCCTGTCCCCCAGACAGCCTTTCCACGGGCCCCTCCTGGAGACCCCCCCCCAGCGCAGATGTTGAGACCACCCACCAGACAGCTCTTCTGCACTGCAGCCTCCGCTCTTCTTGCCTACACGGAGCTATGGCCTTTGGGCTGGCCTCCCTGCCCCAGCCTTGCCCCCAAGAGTTGATTCTCCACACAGCACCAAATAAGCTTTTTAAAAATGCATTCCCCATTTATCCATCCCCGGCCCAAAGTCCTCCAGTGCCTCTGTCTCTTGTAGGGTAAAAGCCAAAGACCTTACAGTGACTGTGTCCACTGTCCTATGCAATCTGCCCCATCCTGTCCACTCTCTCTGGCCTAAACAGCCTTCTATTCTCAGCCTTCACTAATTTTGAATCAGCCACCACTCAGCCTTTTAGGTTTCTTCGAGCACCCCAGATTCACTCCCATCTCAGAGGCTACAGGACTCTCTTCCCTTCCACTCCTGTTTGCTCCTTCCTCCTGAGGTCCCTGCTCAAATGTCGCCTCAGGCCTCAGAGGCCTGCCCTGACCACTCCACCACACTTACTCTCAATCACATCACCCTGCTTTACTTTCCTTATCATACTAACCACCATCTGAAATCACATTGTTTGTTTAGGTCTTTTTGGCCTTTAACCCACCTCCCCACTGAAAGCTTCGTAAGTATAGGAACCTTTGGGATTCTCACCACTAAGAATCCAATGCAGAGCACAAGGCCTGGCACACAACAGGCCCTCAGTAAACACTTGTTGAATGAATGCATGTATTAATTTTCCATCTTCCTATGTTGCTTCTTCTAAATAGAAAGTACCAATAACCTTCCCACAAAATTTATTCAGAGGTCCCTAAACTAAGCCCTAAACGAGCCCCTTTCACCCACCTCCAAAAAGCAAGTCAAATTGAGTTACCAATGATGACACCAACTTCGCAGTAGGGATCATCATAGGCGCACGTCATCATGGTCCCCACAGTGTCATTGACCAAAGCCAGGATGTCCACATCTATGTCCTGCTGGAACACAAGTCGCAGAGGGCATCAGTGGGTGGGAGGGAGGCATTATCCCATTATTTTTCCCCACAGAGGAAGCAAAAGCAGTGAAGATGCCTGGTTGAGACAATCACTACATCCCGCCTTCCGGGCCTGCCTGCAAGAAACAAGGCCTTCGTTAAGTTTCAGGGGCCCAGGGGAGAGAAAGAACAGTTGGGAGCTGAAAAATGGAACCCATTCTCCTGCTTTATGAGCGAAGGCTTCTGTGCAAAGGAAACATGAGGGAAAGACCACTAGGACTCCAGCCTGTGTTTGAGGGACCCTGAGGAAAGCATGTTTATTCTGGGAGCAATGGTGTTTCCAGGAGAAAACACCAACGTCCTCACCCACGGGGACATTTTAACCGGCCTCAGCCAAGTCCTCTCCATGGGCAGCACCGTGCGCTTCCCACCCTACCAAGTCAACTTGGGTTATTGCACCACAGTTCCACAAGGTTTGAAGGAGCATTTTAAGGTAAAATGAAAACAATAAGAGAAGAACACAGGATACAAAAGAATATGAACTCAGCTTTGAATAAAAAAAGACTGGAAGGGTATTCATCAAAATATTCCTTAAGCTGTCAGGGTAACAAGTCATTTGGGTTTATTGGTGTACTTCTCAGCTCAGCAAGGAGCATGTCTTGCTTTTGCAGTTATTTAAATTATTGTAAAATGAATTCAACAAATAGAGATATTCAATGAATAGAGAGTGGAAAGTTGGACAGAGAGCCAGACTGGAAAGAAAGTGATCTTTTAAGCCTCAGAGAGGAGAGGTGGGGGTTGAAGCACTACACGTAGCATCAGGTCTCAGGCAGCTGGGGAGGGCCCTGGGGAGGGCCCTGGGGAGTGCGAGTAACCCTTCAACGGTGCTCAGAACGAGCTCCACATACCAAGGCTCACTGGTGGCTTTAACCAGATAGCACAGCCACATCTGTGCTACAGTGAGACCTTCCCTAAGGTCAAGTTGAGGGTAGGTACAGTACGAGAGATCCCGCTCCCCACTCCCTGCAACCCTAAAGAGAAAGGGGCTAGGACTGGAAGGGCTCCCTGAGCTGAGGTAGATTCCTCACCTTGCGTTTTTTCATAGCATTTGCCAGAGAGCTCACCACATCGGTGTTCTGAACGCCCCGTGCCTTAAACTTCTTCGTCCATGAAAGCAGGATGCCCTGGGGGAAGATTTCAGATCCACAAAAGATGAAGAAGACACTCACTTCTGAAAATGAGCTGCATAAATCTCATGCTCAAAGTGCACCCGCCATGGCCTTCTCGTCTTTAAGCTGAATCACTCTAATTCTTCCAACATTTTCTCAGAGGTTTTTTCTAATAATTTCAACATCTTTCCTATTACTCGCATCTGAGCAGTTTGAAACATAATACATTAGAGCAGAAAGAACAATAGCTGCAGAGTTAGAACGCTTGGTTTTACAAGACATTGTCCAAATCATTTAACCTCTCAGCCTCAGTTAACTCATCTACAAATTGGAAACGTCACTTCTGCCTCTGTCACAGGAATGCTCTGATGGAAGTATCTGGTGTGTGGTAGATACACATGATGTGTGCACAATGCCGGGTTTGCCAGGTCCACAAAGAACTGACATGGTGTTACCTCGTAAGACTCCCTTGGGAACTTAATTTCAACTTAAAAAAATTGTTCTCAATTTGCATTATCAATTATCTGCTTACAATTGGTGTTTCTGAAGAGTTTCATGTCTAAAACAGCAAATAATCACAGAATTTTTCAGACTGGAAGAGAACTTGGAGATTAAGAGACTTGCCCAAGGTCACACAAGAGGAGCTGAGCCCAAACTTACAAACTCCCTGACCACCCCCTACATCCCCACTTCCACACTCTTAGTTTATGGATAAAGCAGCCAAGCTTTAGAGAGGAAGGAAACTTCTCCAGGTCTCACAGTCGGTGAAGGACAGAGCCCAACTGGAACACAGGTCTCTGATGGCCCACCAGTGACTAGGTTTTCACCCTGCACCACAGCACTGCCTAGTGGCAGTTCTCCCTAACTTCTGCCTTCATGGGCTATAGTAATATCCCTGCTTCAACCGGACAGAGGAGTGAGAGATTGCTGAGTGACCTCCTTCCAAAAAGGTTGCTAGGGATAATGTGGGAACTTTTGAGGGGAGAGTATATAGGGAAGTGGAGGAAAAAAGCTGTACATACAACCATATATATTTAAATTATGTATATAGCATAACACCAGTATTTAATAGATATGACTGAAAGGAAAACCCAACAATTCTAGTAGTGGGCATCTCTGAAGGTTGGGATTAGAGGGGATTTCTATTTTCCTCTTTAAATTTTTTAATTCCTACCTTCTTTTATCTCTTTTTTCCCCCCTATCTTACAGGAGTGTTACCATTTAATCATCAAAAACACATACACACAAGGAAAATTCTCTTTGGCTAAGAATTTTCCGTTTCCTCATTTAAACAAACAAAACAACAACAAAGTGATATCTTCCTTTAATTCCCATGCCCTGAACTTCTTTAATCATTTTTCAGTTTCACAAAGAATCCCCTTTAGCCACACCCCCCCATGAAGTCTTCCCTTCCTACCTCCTCCTGCATTTATACAGCTGAGCAGACTCCACCTTCTCCAAAGCCCTTATTTTCGTGTCACAAATCTGCTGCAGAATCATGCCCACTCTCAGTTATTATTACTAATGCACTTCCTTGTGGCTGAAACTTCTCTACTTTAGACTTCACTGAAAGGCAGTTTGGGAGGAAATTTTATAAAATGCAAGAAATTCAACTAGATCTTGACAAGAAAAAGCATTTCTCTTTTTCTCGATATAATCAAGCACACTTCCCTAGTTTAAATGTCATCTGAAAACCATTACTGGGATACAACACAAAATGGATCAAAATGCTTTCAGGCATCTGCTGGCATTTTAAACAATGTTTTAAAGCTGTGCCTTTTTAGAAAGTCAGTGTGGTCAGGGAGTTGATGAGCTTGGGCTGAGCCATTCTTGGCCATGTGGACTTGGGCAAATCTCTTTACCTCTATGAACTGCAATTTTTCTCAAATATAAAATGGAAATAATTAAATCTGCCTAATATGATTGTTTGGGGATTTGAATGAGGCAATGCACATAAAGAGTTCAACATAGTGCAAGATACAGTGTCAAAATCTGGTACAGTCTATCATCATCATCTTCTTCCTTCTTCCTGACATCTCTGTTCCTAAGCTCAAACAAGAGACGTTTAACTATTTGGTAAATCAAGGTCAGATTCTTGACTCCTCCCTACAACTGACTCAGAGGAACTCTGATCTCCACACCAGCGAAGACAAGCAAAGCTCCCCTGGCCTCTTCTAACATTCCCTGAAACCTTCTTTATACTATATTTTTTCCCACTTCTTTCTTTATAAAATAATTAAAAAGTAAACCTCAGCCATCTCCCATATAGATAGATGATGGCAAATTCTCATTCAGCAGAATTCAGTAAATGATTGATTGCACCTTCAAATGTAGGTAGTTATCAACAGCTATTAAATATAAGACATTGTGCTAGAGACCCTGGGGGTGGAAAAGGAGGACAATACAAAATAGTGCCTGCCCTCCAGAAACATCTGTTGAATTGGGGGACAAGGTACAAAAGCATGAATAGACAAATCATATAGGGACAATCATTCAAACCCTGTAGCTACCACTGATGCACCAGGCACAGTGCTTGGCATGGTACGGATGCTTTGTTCAAGCCTTACCTCAGCCCAGCAAGTAGATATTATCCTTGTTTTACACATGTGAAAACAAGGGACCCAAAGTAACTTGCCCAGTGGGCACAACTTGTCCTGATCCATGATTCAAAGCCAGGTCTGTGGATCATAAAAATCTACTCCCTTTCCACTATGCCAAATGGCTCAAGCCAACAATATCAACCACATCCCAAGGTGGTCCATGATATCAGGTGGTCCATGAATTGACTGTCATCTGAATGTCCTGACCAGTCCGTGCAGCAAGAGCTCATGGACAACCACCGGGGGCAAGAGTGGCCTGGGGAGACCTGAATATAGACAATAATCCCCTGGCTTCAGAAAGCACATTGTCCTTTTTTATGTTCCCTTACTGGTTTTCACAGATTCAAGCAAGATCAGGTTTGATTTCTCCCTGTTTACAAACTGAAAATCTGAGGTGTACAGAGATAGATTACCCAAGACTCTAGCTGGCTAGTGGCATAGCTGAGACGGTACATCCCAGGTGTGAGGTTTGCTCAATAGCATTGTCACTCCAGTGACCCCACCTCAATCCTCCTCCCAAGGGCTTACTGTAGAAGCAGACTCTCCAAGCCTTCCCACTCTAGTAACAACAGTGGTTCCAAGTATGGTGCCCAGACCAGCAGCAACTGCATCACTCTGTAACCTATTCCAAATGCAAATCTAAGGCCTCACTGATTAAGAAACTCCTGTGTGGGGCCCAGCAATCTGTGTTTAACAAGACTTCTGGGATTCTGATGCAACCAAGGCCTGAGAACCACTGAGTTTGGTGGTGGAAACCATTTTGTTTCCTTTGCTGTGCCCATGTTAAGTGTAAAATCAAGGTAACTACGTTAACATATTCTCTGCCTCACATTTCCACATCACTGTTAAGGGGGGGGGTGGCAAGAAAAAGAAAAAGCAGGCAAGAAAACTCCTGCTGATCCCTCCTGTTCCCAGCCTGACTCCTGCTCATGCCACATTCTCCAGCTCCAAACCCAAATCCTACATAGCTTCTTCCGTCCCCAGCAGCAGCCTTACCTCTTCCAATTTAGTCTGTCTGCAGGGAAATGAAAAGGTTAGGCCGAGAGGAAATTTCTTCTGCTTCAACCCTTTGGTCTTCATGAAATCTGCCAGACAGTCAGCTACATATTCAAACAGCTGCAGAGAAAAGAAAGCACAGGACCCCGGGCTAAGGCTCAGTCGCCCATAAACTTGATGCCAAGGCCTTCCCCCACCTTCATAGAGCTCCTGCCCGGTACCTGTGTGCCATTCCCTCGGATGATTTCATTGGGTGTTGGGTAGAACTGACTCTCCATCTGGACGTTTCGTTTCCCCTCTTCAGAGACTTGCACCTTCAAGACTCGAAACTTGGATCCTCCAAGATCCAGGGAAAGAAACTCTCCATTTTCTATTAGAAAACAAACCAAGAAAAGTTATCATTAATTGAGGGTCTGCTATATGGCAAGCCCTGGTTGGTCATGGGAAGCACAGGGAGTGGCATCTAAATCAGAGCAGGTGACAGAGCTGAGTGTGACAGGGCATCAGGCAGCCAGACCGAGGAGCACAGGGGTCCAGGGAGAGGAAACTGTGAACAAAGGAATGAGACTGTATGGGGGTGGAAAGGTCTGTGTTTTGAGCAGGAAAGAGGTGTGACAGAAATGAGGCTGGCAGGCAGTCTTGGGTTAAAAAAATCAGGAAGGATTTGGAAAAGCCATCCCATCCCAAGGAGCTTAGGATTTATCCAGAAGGTAGTGGGGAGTCACAGAAAGTTTTAAGAAAGATTTTAACCAAGATTTGATTGAGGTTTTGGGAAAACACCTCTGGCACTAACCAGGATGGACTGAAGGATTTTATTAAAAGAGGAGGTTCCTATGCTGCAACCCAGATTGGAGGTGACACAGAAGACCTACTGTACTGTAATGTCTGCGCGGACTGATTCTTTCCTCTGGCCACCAGCACCATCATCGCACTGTGGTCCCCTCACTCCACCAGTGACTCAAGACCCTGGTTCACAGAAACCACACAATGTGATCCTTTTTGTGACTGTGATCCCAGGAAAAGGACTCATTGGACCTCAGAGAAGGGAGAACCTGCCCAGAAGACAACAGCAGCAGTGGGGCCGTCAGGATCTTTACAGACATTATTAAGATTGTTATGACCTCCCATCACGGTGACTATAGTTAATAATATTGAATTGCATATCTGAAAGTTACTAAGAGAGTAGATCTTAAAAATTCTCACCACAAAAAAAGTTTTTTGTGACTATGTGTGGTGATGAATGTTAACTAGACTTACTGTGATCATTTCACAATACATACAAATATCCAATCAGTATGTTGTACATCTGAAATTAATGTGCTGTATGACAATTGCATCTCAACTTAAAAAATAAAAAAAAACAATAATTTTTTAAAAAGAAATAATCTTTCATGAGGGTGAGGCTTCCTTGACAATCTGTCTGCTGGGGACAACCCTCCAGTGACCTTTCAGCGGCTGGAGGCTGCCATGGACGCCAGGAGTTTCCTTTCCTAAACTACTGCCAGGACTTGTAACTCTGCTCCGTCCCCATTTCCAAGTGCAGCATCTCCCGAAGTCACATAATGACTGAACGTGGAGCTTCCTGAAGATTCAGACTCTCCAGGGGTAAGAGGCCTGGGAAACCACGTTTAGGTATCGCCCCAGGTAAGTCTTATGCTCAGGCAAGTATGGGACTTCTGTCCTAGTGCAGACCCCTCAGCCCATCAGCTGACAACACTGGGGCTCCTGGGTTCACCCCCAAGGCTCACCTTCCAGAAGGCCTAGGAAGCTGCCTGGAGACAGATGCCAAGAAGAAAGGCAGCTGTGGTGGGGCCTACAGAATCAGTCACATTCAGATAACAAGATGGGCACTTCTGTCCCCCTTCCCTTATGACTGACGGAAGAGAAGGCACTTTTAAGGTGCTAGTAAGGACAGTCAGTTGCAGCTCCCTGACTGAAAGGCTGGGAGGTAACTAAGCTCAATCAAGTTACCCCTTCTCAGGTAGGTTCAGATGAAAGGAGGGGAAACTACAGAGTTGGAGTAGGCACACTCAGAAGGATTTCTCTGGAATTTGCATACATTTCTGAAATGGAGGCCCCAAGAGATTAGGAGAGTTTTATTTGTTTGGTTTTGTTTGTTAGTAATCGGGAATTATACCACCAGGTTGCAGGAGCTACGCAGGACTTGAGACATTTTGGAGAGTTTAAAGCATTCCTTCCTTGTGACCTCATCTGACCCTAATGACCCCACAAGTTGGTGGGACAAACTGGCCACAGCCCTTTTACTAATGAGGACAGGCGTACAGTGGTTCTGGGACTTGACAAGGTCACTTGGCTCCACAGGGACTCTGGGCCCAGGGACCTGACCATAGCTTGATCACTGGTGATATTTATTGTGTGATGAGAGGCTCTGAGGAGACAGTGAAGAAAGGAGGTGGTGTCTCCTCGTCTGAGGAGGAGGGAATTTCTACAACTTGGTCAGTTTCACTTCCAAACCTTCCTGAAGCAGCTAGGGCCGGGAAGACACATCCAGCCAGCAGCCTCTAGACCGTGAAAGGCCACTTTCCTTTGCTTCTGGGACACACCTCTACAAGAGGAGCCACAACACAGGAAGCCAGGACTCTGACCTGGTGCTCCCTCCTCTCCATATATACACCTCATGACTCAGGTGCTTCCTCAGAATGGCCCCAGATGACCCATCAAAGACCACAGTCCCCTCAACATTCTAAAGAGCAGTGTCAGAATTGAACAGAGATTTCAAAGCAGGACTGTCTCTTTCCACAGCTTATGTTCCTCCACGGTGGTACACTGCCCACGCCACATGCCCACCCACAAGCAAGGGAACAGGCTGCTCCACCACAGGACCCGGGGGCCTCTCAAATGGCAGAGCAAAGCTACTTTGGACCAGACATTAACAGAGGGGGGCCCAGAGCCCAGCAAATCCAATCAAAGTTCTCTGAGAGCTCCCCAAACTTGAGTCTCTGCTCCTTCAAGAGCCCCAAAGTCCCTGCTAGAGCTTGGCTGGAACACTGGGACCCTGAAATTGGGGAATTCCCTTGGTCTTTAGTGCTCTCAGCTGACCTGGGGATAGCAGTTACACCACGGGGTTCTTACGGGAATTGTGTGAGGCAGTGCGTCCCTAGCACCCCATGGCCACAGAAGGTGCCTGGTAGATACCAGTTCCTTTCCCTCCTATGGCCTTACCCAGAGGTTGAGAATGGAAGAGTTTGATGAAAACTCAGAGATTCCCTCTAGAGTTCTCTAGGCTGTGGTAAGAAAAATAATGTTTCTCCCAGGATGTCTATATCCTAATCCCTGGATCCTACGAGTATGTTAGGTCACATGACAAGGGGGAATTAAGGTTGCAGGTAGAATAAAAATTGTTCATCAGTTGACCATGAGATTGGGAAATTATTCTGGATTATCTGAGTGGGCCTAATGTAATCACAGGGTTTTTAAATATGTAAGAGGGAGGCAGAAAGATCAGAGCCAGAGATTTGAAGATGCTACACTGGGGCTTGGAGATAGAAGGGAGCATGAGCCAAAAAATGCAAGCGGCCTCTAGAAGCTGGAAAAGGCAAAAAAATGGATTCTCCCCTAGAGCCTCCAGAAGGAATGCAGCTCTGCTGACACCCTGAGTATAGCCCAGGGAGACCCATATCAAATTCCGAACTTCAGAGCTGTAAGAGTATAAATCCGTGTTGTTTAAAGCTGCTAAGCCTGTGGTAACTTACTACAACAGCAATAGAAAACTAATGCGTAAGCCAACTCTTTCATTTTATAGGCAGAAAAAGTAAGGCTAAACATTTTTCCAAAGATCACTGAGGAATGACAGAGCTGGGCCTAGAACCCAGGTTTCTTAAATTATCATTTAATATTTCTTCTACCACAACATACTATCTTCTATCACTTACTGTCTAAAGCCTAGAATCTAAAGCCTAGAATCTAAAGCCTAGATACCTAGGCGTGAAATGCCACTTACCATCCATTCAACAAACATTTCAGGGCCTAGTGTGCATCAAGCACTGTGCAGCGCTCAGAACACTGTGGTGAAGAAGAAATAGATCCTGCCCTCATGAAGTGCTGGACTAGTGGGGAGGCTCTCATACACAGCATGGGGATAGGCACTCTGACAAGCTCCTAGCCCAGCATGGGGATGCTTCCCAGATCAAGGCAATAATCTCTACACTGAGGTGGAAAAGCTAAGTGGTGTTCACAAGGGTAATACTTGGGATTCTCCAGCAGGAGAAGGAACACAATGGGTAGGGCCAAGGCAGGCAGGGAAAAAGAAAGGTGCATTTGAACTTTGGTCCAAACTTTTGATATTGAGCCACTGGAGCATAGAGAAATGGGGAGGTAGGGGCGGGGAATGTGGAGAGAGGGCTGCAGAGATAAGCCAGGGTACAGGAGCAAACTTCAGGCACCCATCAGCCTAGAGGGAACCAGGAGGATCATGGTCCCTGGCAGCCCATAGCCCCACTCACCTGAGCCATCTGGAATGGCCCTGACAAAGGTGGGCAGCATCTTTACTGAGGCTGTGGGGTTGGTGTCCTTCCCCAGGCCCTTCTGCATTTCAGCCTGGAACCGAGCCATGATGTCCAAAAGGGTCTCATCAGAGAGCCGCATGTGATACAGGAACCTGTCCACCTGGAACAGATACCAAAGTGATCAGGATTGGCTGCTGGGGACACTTGCCCTCCATTCGAGGCTGTGAATTCCCACCCCAGGCATGAAGTTGTGTTCCTGATTCTAGACAGCTTCTTATTTTAATTAAAAATTTTTTTATTGAAGTATAGTCAATTAACAATGCTGTGTTCATTTCTGGTATACAGCACAGTGATTCATTTATACATACATAATCATTTTAATACTCTTTTTCATTATATGCCATTACAAGGTATTGAATACAGTTCCCTGTGCTACACAGTAGGACCTTGCTGTTTATCTATTTTATATATAATAGTTAGTATCTATAAATCCTGACCTCCCAATTTATCCCTCCCTACTCCCTTTCCCCCTGGGAACAATGTTTGTTCTCTATGTCTGTGAGTCTGTATCTGTTTTGTAAGTAAGTTCAATTGCCTTTTTTTTTTTAAAGATTCCACATATTAAGTGGTATTATATGGTATTTTTCTTTCTCTTTCTGGCTTATTTGACTTAGTATGACGATCTCCAGGCCCATCCATATTGCTGCAAATGGCATTATTTTATTCTTTTTTATGGCTGAGAAGTATTCCATTGTGTGTGTATGTATGTATGTATGTGTGTATATATATATACCACACCTTCCTTATCCAGTCACTTGAGGGACAGCTACTTGATGTGGATTCCCAAAGGTTCCTTGCCTAACCCCTCATCAAGCTGAGGACAAGATGGGGAGTTAGAAGAACAGAATGGAATGGAAGGCTGCGGAGGTGGAGACTTATTCTGAAGCACAAGCTCTGAGGGAAAAATGATTACCCACTTTTTCTGACGGGACAATGGAGGGGCAAAACTAGGAAGGATTCAGTTTCTAATTCCTAGTTCAAGACACTCACAGTTGTCTCATTGCCCCTACACTAGAAAAGAATAGCTATAGCTTAAACCTTAAATTCCTAGACACGGAAGCTTTCTTTTGTCCAATAATAACAGTATATATTCAGACATGTCTCCCTTTGTTTAGTGGCTGCTGGAAAGCTCAGAACTAAATTCAGTTTCCAAGTGCTATCTCTACAGTTCAGTGCTTAAATTTCCATTCTGTTTTTAATTGAGGTTGTTTTAATTAAGATAGTTTAATTTTTAAAGCTAGCCCAAATTGCTATGGGAAATGAGTGCCTGTCACTCAAATAACCAGGAAATTGTGGCAAAGGACCACTGCTCCAATGGAGGAAAGTGATAAAAATCACTATGGCTGTGAGCAGTCCACGTGAAGGTAATATGTCACATCATATTACCTTCCTCCCCATGCTAATGCTAATCATTTGGAGCTGGCAGCCTGGATTCCCAGGGCTCACTGGGATGGATTATCAGGAGGAGGGACAGTGGCACAGGCACCCTGTATTTGTCACCCCTGTTTTATATACTGAACAGCCTCTCCACCCATCCAGGTCACGAGGCGGCTTGATCTTGGCACATTCCTGCAAGTAATTGCTCTCCCACACTCTTATCTAAGGCTAAGAACATTTATTGTAGTCTGCAATGTGCTTTCATGTATGTCACCTCATCTAATCTCTGAAACATCCTTTTGAGGCAACCGGGTAAGGCCAAAATTATTGCCCCTAATTGAGAGATGAAGACTCCAAGGCTCAGAGCTGTTAAGCAGCATTAGGAGAGCCATAGGAAGTGGCAGCACTGGGACTATAATGCAGTCTCCACATTCCTTGCTACGTGGTCTGGGTTTGCTTCATAGCTTTATGTGGGTCCCACAAGCCCAACAGACAAATTATACCAAAGCCCAGGGGCCACATGACCTTTATCATAGGACAGGTACCCAGCCATCAGGCCTAGAGGACAGGCATCCCAGCTCAGTCCAGGGCCACTATGGAGTTCTAAGCCACTGAGGTGGTCCATGGCTCCCAGGACTTGGGGGGGCCAGAGAGAGGCCAGAAAACCATCAGAGAGCCATTAACAAAAGAGGACAATTGGGCTTTCAGCATATTTGAGAAGATAGGTTGGAACCAGGTCAAGCTTCATTAAGGGCTCGCTGTTCACCCTTAGTCTGTTTATGACTAATTGGTTGGCACAGCCACATATACAGAGAAAACCGACAGAAGGGATGTGACCCAAGTAATTGGGGCTTGGGGAAGGGTGAGATACGCTACACGGGAACTAAACTTGCTCCTTTATCACCCCAAGGCCCCTCACACAGTGCCCGTAAACGTACTGCTCATTTTTCCTCAGCCCCAGAGTATAAAGAACTTCTCGAGGCATCCCATAGCACCATCCCTCGTAAAGGGAAGTAATGGTTTTGAGGCCCTTCTGGGGTCGTCTGTGAGTTGTAGTTTAACAGAGTCATTCAGGACTTTGGATTACTACTCCTGCTGTTGCAATAAGTTAAAGTTATGACAGACAAAAATGTCTCCTTAGTATAGGTTTCTTGTCTAGCCTTTCTATCTTCCACAACACCTGGAACAGCAGCTAGAAGGGAAGAATGACACATAGGCTGGGACAAAAAGGTTGCGTTTTAAATCCAAACAGGTGATTTGAGGCCTATTGGCCTCACAAGGCACACAAGTTGCAGGCACAGGGGAGGGTACTTGAGTTGTAGAAAACCATGCCTACTTTTGGAGTGACTCACAAACTATAACATAAGATATCTTCTGAACAAAAGAGCCAACAAACATCACAGTTAATGTAGGAAGAGTAGAATCAAAAGTGTGAGCTTAGAGCTGCTGAATTACAGCATGAATGAGTACTGTGTGTGAATGTGGGAGCCAGAAGGGACTTTAGAGATTACTTAGTCCAAAGGTCCCATATAAAGAATCAAGTCATAAAATGGTTCAACTCTTTGACCCAGTAATTTCACTTCTGGAAATCTACCCTTGAGAAATAATCCCAAAGACAAAGTACACTAAATACATACCAATGTTTATCTCAGCAATACCTTAATTGTTAAAAAATAAAAGTGGCTAAATGTCCAACAAGAGGGAAAAGGTAAATTGTTCAAGTTGACTGAGTATTAGAAAGATACTAAAATAATTATGGAGAAATGTACACCAGTGGTTACAATATAACAATAGGTGAAGGATATAAGATTCTGAATTGTACATACAATATAACTGTAAAAACATCCAGGATAAAAAAAGACTACAAGGGCTTCCACATGGTAAATATGTCAGTGTTTGTGAAAGAGGTGGGTGGGATTAAAGGTAACATTTCCACTTTTCATAATGTTGACTTATTAAACTGTAAAAAGCACACATGGGAAAATCTAACCAGTCCTTTTATGAATGGACAACCTGCAGGTCAGTGACCAGACTCAGCCCAATGTTATCAATAGGTCAAATAATGTCAATATATGGAATTGGAAAAGAAGCTGTAAGAGTAGTTTCTCCTTTCTTTTTCTTTTTCTTTCTCTTTTTCTTCTTTCCTTCCTTCTTGTTTTGTTTTGCTTTTGTTTTGATGTTGGTATAGGGAGATTTTAAAAAACTGTTCCAGAATCTAAATAGTAACCCTCACAGGCAAGTGGGGCCCAGGATCTTGACAACTCTGGAGTCAGGAAGCACAGAAACTAAGGAGAGGACTGGCTACCTGAGTGGGACAGAGGAAGAGCTCATACCTTTTGACCAGGTGTGCTTTCACCATAAGTAGAAGTGAATGAGTTGGTGTTCTCAGAACCTGTGACTCATCCCAGCAACTCATAAACCAGCCTGCCTGGCTAGGTCACTCACTCAAGGTGGTTGCGTACTGCTCCAGACTACTCCTGCTCAGCTCACTCTCAGGAGCTTTCTTGCTTTCCCTGGGGAGACGGAGGGGTCAACTCCAAGCCTTGACAAAGGATGACCCTCCTTCCACAAGGACGTGGAACAGATCAGAGGAGGCTGCGCATCCTGCCTCCTGGACGTGCACCTGGGCTGGTGGACAAACATGTCCAGCTTGATTCTAGGGTGTATCTAAAGGTTAACCACCACAAAGGGGCAAGGATATGAAACTAATTTGCAGAACCAAAAGTGTAAAGTTTCCAAAGACTCCCCCTTCGGGACTGGGGAGACTCCATGCAGGTTGCTTCTTTACTAAGAGGTCTTAAGCAATGCTGTATAGAACTTTTCCTTAAGAAGTCAGTAGAGGGGTCTGTGAATCTAATCAACAAATGAAAATTAAGACAGCTTAACTCTGATTGACTTACAGTATTTTAAGATTTGCTACTGTAACCCAACTCTAATGAACTCACTCTAATGAATGTAGTGGGAGTTTATCTCACTCAGCAAAGTAGGGGTCCCAGGGGTCACGCTTTCTTTCTTTCAGTCTGAAAAGCCAAGAGGCATCAAGACACAATAAAAACAAAATTATAAAATAAAAATAAAAATAAAAAAGACACAATGGAAAGAATGCTGGGAAGGAGTTAGAGACAAGTTTAATCCTCACTCCACCTTAAATACTTGTGTAATCTTGGCTAAATCCACCTACTGTTATCTATAAATTGAGGGAGGCCAGTGCCCAGGGCCCTGCCACTGGTAGCTGGTGTGGCTACAGTGGCAGGCAGGGCTCCTGCCTTTCTCAATGTTGAGGGCCCCCAGTTGAGTCTTGGCAACTTATCACCAGCCCACCTTAGAATGAATTTTATAGACAGATTTCTTGGGCAAAGTGGTGAAATAATGCACATCATTAAGAGCACACCATTCACAAAAAGCACGTGCCAATAATACACATTTTGATTACTGTATGTGAAAGCTCACATCCCTCTTGGTGTCCACATTTATATTCTTTCAAGCACGTGAAAAATCATGAATTACTTTAAAAGTTCTCACATTTTCTTTAGAAATGACTCTCCTCTCCTTTGTAGCCTTTCCCCTCAAATATCCCTCACATCAAACACAATCGTCATCAAGCTTTCTAAAGACTTTTTCCTCTTCCCTTTCCTGTCTGATATCTGCCAGGAAGTCCAGGTGAAATTCAAAGCTCAGGACAGTACGCCCAGCCTGTGGGAGATTTACTTCCTCTTCCCCCTCCCCCTCTACGAGCTCTGTACTGCCCCTGTGCTTCTTGCATCTTTTCTAATAAGCTCTCTTAAGTCCTTTTGCACCTAGGCACAGGATTGGTGAGCTCTATCAGTGAAGACTGAACCTAGATCTCTCAGCTTGATGAGTCCTTACCTTCTTGATCTGATCTTCCTTCAGTTTGGTGAAGTAAAATGCCATCAGGTGTACCGCAAACATTTTTCCCAAGTTTGGTTTCTTCTGAGATGAGCAGAGACTTCTGTGCAGTGTTTACTCCCACGTCTCCAGAGCGCTGCCCACTTCCAGCTCAAGCCAGAGGCCTCCGGGGAACTAGGTGCTACAGATTAAATACTTCCAGGCTGCTTAGTTCAATGATTAAACTTCGCCCCCTCTCTCTGGTCCCTCCCTCCGGCACACACTTGATTGTCTAATAGGAGGCTCAGGATGGTAGCTGAGGGTGGGTGGAGGGCAGGCAGGGGATGAGTGGCTTGACTCCTTGAGAATCGGGTGCCACAAAATCTTGTTGCTAAGCAACACTCTCAAGCCAGTGCCCCACCAAGCCCACTCAGCCGAGGAAAATCTCCTGAGAAGTTGGGCGTTAAACAAAGCCAAGTTTCAACCAAGCTGAGCTGCTCTGTAAATGCACAGTCTCAGGCTTTTCTCTTTAGTCTTTTTCTTCTCAAGCCAGGGATATACCTCCTGACTCCCTGCTCCTCT